AAGAAGATTCTGACAAAATACAGAGGGGTAGTCACCCTATAGTCTGTGACCTGCAGTAACTCTACCTTCCCAGCTATTGACATTTACCTGGACAAGAGCTATGGGAGAGGACTTCCTTCACTGTCCATAAACCCTGGTTGTGCTCCAACTTATAGATCAGCTCTGACTTGGACAAAGTATAGCCTCGGTGAAGAGAGCACAAGAGGACAGAGGTTTGGGTGAGAAGAAAGAAACCTCTCATTACAGACTGGAACATCATACAGGACAAGACTTCAAAATGAAGCTACTATCATCTATTGTACATAAATAAAATGCTGAAGTGTGACCTAGAAACCAATTGCAAAAATGCCACCATTAGACCCCAAAGAAGACTGTAAACAGTGGAGCTGGCTGTGTAGACAGCTCTAATTCCCTTTCATTTCCACCTATATAGTCTCAACACTGTTGAGACATCTTTCATAAAGGTATTTTCTAATTAATTCAAGTCACAATGCCTCAGTCTCTCATGAATTAGCAACAACTAGGACTGCCCAGTTGCCTCTGCAGACCATTAAAACAAGACCTGTGAAGATGAGGCCAGAGCATTAGTAAGTTTTAAACACTCCTCAGGTGACTGCACCCCCCATTGTATGTGGAAAATGGCACCATGATCATCAGTAATCTGAGGTAGGCAGGTTATATACACTGGCACTCAAAGTACAGAGAAAGCCGTAATTTCAAAAAGGGCTGAAGGAGAGGTCTACTGCTGTTGTCCTGTGGCATCCTAGGACTTCTGTGAGAGAAGTTGCTTGAAGACCTGAATCAAGAAGAGTGCTATGCATTGAATATGTTTCCTAAAAATCTTGTCTTGGAAACTTAACTGCCACTGTAAGAGGAGTAAGAGAAAATACTCAATCTGACTACAGTGTCAAGAGATGGGACTTTGATAGGAAAGAAGGAACACATGGTTCATAAGCAGCAGAGCTGGGAGAGGACTTCAGAGACCAGCTCTCTGAAATACTACATTAAGGAAGGAGCAGCAATCATCCAGGTGGGACCAGGAGCCTCAAGACCAAGTGGGCAGTGGCAGTGGGAATCTTTAGGCAACAGGGTCCAAAGTGAGGGGAAGACTTGGTGACCCCAGACTTCAGCATTTCCTGAATCACTAAAAAATTTAAAATTGCTAGGTAATCCCACCCAGTGACCTGATTACACATAAACATTTGCACAGAAATCAAATATCACCTACAAGTAACAATATTTCACAAACTAAAGTGCTTTTGCCACAGAAAAATCCAATAAATAATATTAATATTTCACAATGAAGGGGTATTTCTTTTTTTTTTTGAGAGGTTTTTGCGTGCACTTGACAGAGAGACAGACAGAAAGTGAAAAATCACTCCCTGGGGGGATGGCCACACCGCAATCCCTTCTCCTCCACTCTCCTCTTGGGCTCTTGGGCACACATGCACATGTGCCCAGTGTGAGTTTAAGCCGCCAAGTCCAGACTTGAACTGTGGTTGACTACATGGGAGTCCACCAACACAGCCATTATGCCAACTGCTGGTCTTGAAGGTGTGTTTTCTTAAGCTTTATGAAGTTATCACTGTATGACCCTAGTTTCCTTGTTTGCTAAGGTTGGAGATGCCAGAAGAATTAAAATAGTGGAATGTGAACAGGAAAAGAATAGTAAAAAAAAGAAGGAAAAAAAATGTGATTAAATAAAAAAGAAAGAAGGAGACCAGTGGATGGCGTAATGGCTATGTTGCTGAGCTCCCATGTAGTCAACCACAGTTCGAGTCCCGGACCTAGTGGCTTAAGCCTACACTGGGCGCATGTGCATGCATGCCCAAGATCCCAAAAGGAGAATGGAGGAGAAGGGACTGCGGCATAGCCATCCTCCCTGGGTGGTGATTTCTCGCATTCTGTCTTTCTTTCTGGCAATCACATGCGCCCTATAGCAAAAAGCTCTCCAAAAAATTTTTAAAAATTAAAAAAAAAGAAAGAAGAAGGGAGGAGGAATGTGTAGGCCTCAGAGAGCAAGGACTAGGTGGCCTCTTCCTTCCACAAAATAGCTGGGCAATACAAGCCGCTACAACAAAGACCCATACAGAGAAGACAATACAGGAGACTCAAAAGAAAGGGTAGAATCATGTTTCCTCTCACTTCCTGTATCGGTCCTTCAAGGGCCTGGCAAGAAATCCTGCCTTTGGGGGGCCAGCGGGTAGCATGATAATTAAGGTACTGGACTCTCACATGGTTGACCGCGGTTCAAGTCCCTGGCCCAGCAGCTTGAGACTTACTCTGGGAGTGTGTGTGTGCATGCCCGAAAGTCCCAAGAGACTAGAAGAGAAGGGATTGTGACGTAGCCATCCCCCTGCCTGGGAGGTGGTGTATGATTTCTCACTGTTTCTCTGTATCTCTTTCGTGAACACACATCCTATGTCAAAAAGCTCTCAAAAAAAGAAAGAAATCCTGACTTTGGGTTCTCCAAACACCATTTCTTTCCAACACATTCCTCTCCTTTGGCTGTGACCAAAGGCAAACTTTTTATTATTATTATTATTATCTAATTTATTTATTTATATTTTTATTTATTTATTTAAATTTGACCAGAGAGGGACAGAGTGAGTGAGAGAGAGAGAGAGAGAGACAGACAGACAGAAAGTAAGTGAGAAAGGAAGCCGCTAGGTTCGGGACTTGGAACTACGGTCGGTCATATGGGAGTCCAGTGCCCTTAACCACCATGCCACCTGCTGGCCCCAAGGCAAACAATTTTTGACCAACGTTTCCTTCTTGATACACAGGTAATCAGGCAGCAAGAGGTGAGTCCAGAAAATAACTGAAGCTGTGACAGCGAGGACTCCTAACCACCCAGACCTGGAGCCAGAGATGGAAAGAATTTAGGTCTCCACATGACAGAGAGGAGAGACCTCACCCAGAGAAACCAGGAGCCAACAGATCTCCAGCATCACTTCCTGGTACAGGGTCCTCTGGGCCACATCCAGCTGCTCCCACTCCTCCTGAGTGAAGTTTACTGCCACATCCTCAAAGGTCACAGGCATCTAGAGAGTCAAACAGAGGCAGTACTGTTTGCTTTGGGACTATTAGATAGGATCAAAAGCTGTCACTTAAACACCCACGAAGACAGACCAAAGGCCAAATCACCAAGCACTTTCAAAGGGCTGAGCGCTGTGCTGGGTTCGAGGGGCAGGCTGTTGCTTCCATGGATGGATTATGGCAGAGTAGGAGATGGAGAAATTTCCTGTAGGGCCAGGAAAGACCAAAATGCAGGTGTACTAATCCTGAGTGGATTGGAGGCACAGAAGGTAAATGCTCTGGGACAGAGGAATGGGAACAAATAATGCTGATAGTTAACCATAAGCCCAGTAACAATACCAGCAAAAGTGCAAGAAGCGGGCGGGGAGGGAGGCCCTGCAAACACTGCCGGCGTCCTGGGAAAGGGAAGCACAAGGGAGACGTAACGGGGGGGAGGTCGCTTAGCACGTCCAGGAGGGAAAGCAGGGAAGCGACGCAGACGTCAGGAGTCTGCGGGAGCGTGGGGTCGCCTGACGCGGCCGCCCGCGTCCCTGCAAGGAGGCAATGTTCCTCCGTGTCCCGCGGGCCGAGGCCCCGCGCTGTTAGGAGGCACCGCGGTGAAGAGCCTGCCACCGCCGCCTGTCACACGACTGCGACGAGGAGGAACCCAGCGGCCTTCGCGGCCTCCGGCCTGCCCGGGTGGCCTCTCGGACTCAGCGTAGAAGCGGCAAGGCAGGAAGCCT